CACACACACACACACACACACACACACACACACACACACACACACACACACACACACACACACACACACACACACACACACACACACACACACACTACTTTCTCTCTTTGTCCCCTGGCAACATACCGCATGAGGGTGTCAAAAAAACACGTCCTGCTTGTCACCAGACGCAAAAGACAGGGAAAGAGGGGAGGAAGGGAAAAAGAAAATGAAGGAAATAGAATAATCATTTATGTCAGTACTGATAGGGTATATGCAGGAATCCTGAAGTCAAATTTAATACCTTTTAAGACCTTTTTTAAGACCCTTTCCATACATCTTAAGACCTCATCGCAACTTTGAGTTCTAACCGGTTACATTGGCAACACACTTTACCTCACATTTACTATATTGATTGTAAGATCTAAACAGAGTGCAGACAGACTACTGAAGCCTCCTCTCCACATGAACTTCAACCTCTCTGTGAAGGTCAGGTTTAATGCAGTATGCTGCTTTGTTGCTTCTGTACTCTGTGCTCTTTCATTCCAGTAAAACTCCTCAGAAACCATTAGAAACCAGTATTTGACCAATAAACAAAACAATTGACAAAACTTTGAACTATGAAATATGTTAAACTTTGGTGAGCTTCAGCGGGGTAATGCCATATAGGAGCTCCCTCACAAATACCCAGGGGTTAAATTGGGCTGGGGCTGTCCGGGGCTAAGCCCTGGCACATAGGACGACCCTGGGTATTTGTGAGGGAGCTCCTATATGGCATTACCCCGCTGAAGCTNACTTGCTCCCCCTTCCCCTATGGGTCTGGTACCGTCAGCGCTTCGTCATGAGTGCAAGCCATCAAGGTCACGCAATCACGCTGTCTCTCTCTCACTCTTCTTCTCCACTGGCCTGATATCTATCTTTCTATCTATTTGTCTTTCTTGTGAATCAGTCTATTTGTTTGGATGACTCTGAATAATCCAAACTATTCTTCACATTCAGACTCTCTCTCTCTCTCTATCTGTTACTTACTGTCACTGTACCTCTCTCACTCACTGTCCCACTCTCAATGGTGCAATGGTCCCCATTGTGGGCCAGTTGTGGTATTACATGCAGTACAGAATTTTGACTTAAACTCCTCAGAAGGATTTGTCATCTTCTGCACATCTGTCAGTGAAGTTTGGGACAACTCGTGTTTTGGGTTACTTGTCAACACTTTAATATAACCTCTAACTTCAGAAAGAAACCCAAACTGCTCTCAGTTATCCCAGACAGATAGAATAATGAAATGAGTGTGGTGAATTTTCAGAATCAGAATCTAGTTTATTGCCAGGTACTTTTGCACATACAAGGAATTTGCTTTGGTGTATGGTGGTGAAACGTAAAAAACATAAGAACATCAATTGTAAGAGAAGGTCAAAATAAAGACACACATCGTTGATTTCTATAAACATTTCGCTCTTGAAAAGTAGCATATTACATCTGTTATCCCAAACTGCACCATGATGCGTAGAGAATGGCTGGTTCTTCTGAGGAGCTCACTGTGTTTTCTCTGTAGGATTAGCATCAAGATTTCAGAGCCTCTTGGAAAAACTCAAATGGCAACAAACAGATTAGAGGTCAGAGAGGACAATGTGGTGTTATGCTGCATTTCTATGTGGTCAAATGTATTTGATGCATACTGGTGGAGTAGAGTTTAGTTAGTTGTTGATTTAAAATGTTTGCGTAACTGTTTCTGCTGTCATGAATGCTGATGCCAGTTGTTTGAAGGCTTGACCTGATCCATCTGCTGTTTGCCATAGAAAGGGAAATACCACAGGTCCTTAGTTGCTGTAATTACTGCATCATGCTTTACACAAGTCCTGATGTTGTCTTTGTTTTTCCGCCTTTTGTCCCTGAGAATGAGCAGTAGGAGCAGCATGAATAAATACATCTGTATTAGAATAGCACTCAGCAAGATGGCTGAATATTTCATCATGGAGTTATTTCCTGTGGATGAGTACAGGGACAATAGACAGTTAGAGAGCTACAGTACAGTGCCTCTAAAGTTTGTTCTTCACTAAGGCATACTTTCAATAAAAAGTATACGGCAAACACACTGCTTAAATGGTTTGAGAGTAAGACAAATGCATGTTCATTGCAAGAAGCTCTGCAAATAACATGATTGTAGGTGTGAAAACAGCTTGTAGAAAATCATAGTAAACAAAGAATTCAAGATGAATAGGTAAATATGATGTTCTACCTGGCAGTGGCTGCATTGGGCAGTAATATCTTTCCATTTGAAAATCCTCTTGTGATTATTTCTCCTGGTGGCCAGTTGCTCCGTGACCGACAAACAATTAGCCTGCCTGCATGATTAATTGAAACAGGAATCTGCCTGCAGGCTAGAGTTCATGCACTGTATCTGTTGTGAATTGTTATCAGTGATTTACAAAAGGGTTAGCTTCTATGGATGGAAATCTGGCCTGCTCTTAGCTTTTAGACGTGTTCTTTACCGGTGTAGAATAAACAAATCTCTCTGCTGAGTTGGACCATTTACTTTAGGGGCTCTGAAAGTGTCAAATATGTTTTCCATGGCCTTATTAACTTGTATAGGTTATATCAAATACATCCAAGTGTGTGTTCTATTTGAAACAACACTGAGGTGAGTAGAAATCATTTCAGGTTTTCAGACCCAGGGATTTTTAAGTTGTACACACACACACACACACACACCCAGTTTTAAGATTTGATGGTTCAGTATGGTGCCTTTAAAGACTGCAAAAGTCTTGCACTGATTTATTATAAAAGAAAGGTTGGCTCAGGTGTTTTCAGGAAGCTCATATATGGTTTGCCAATCTCTTTGTTGCCAAGTGATTTTTCCATGAAGCCAGAAAATAAAGCGTGATTGCCCGATTCTCTCCCAGATCTCTTTTGTCAGTTAATTTTGATGGGATTTTGTAGGACGCAGTTTTTCATTTATTAACTGAGTGTGTGTGTGTGTGTGTGTGTGTGTGTGTGTGTGTGTGTGTGTGTGTGTGTGTGTGTGTGTGTGTGTGCGTGTGCGTGCGTGCGTGTGTGTGTGCGTGTGTGCGTGCGTGCGTGTGTGTGTGATATTTACATCCACATTTGTTTGTGGGTGGGAATATGCATATGAATGTTACTTGTATGTCTGGATTTCTGTTTGTATGTTCATGTATGTGTGTGTGTATGTTTCCCTCCCTTACCTATCTGCATGTGTCCCAATGCGTCCTGTGTTTTTTCAACAAAAAAAAACACCAAACCCCACCAAAAGGGACTGCAGAACTCTGAAGAGAACGCCAGGATCTCCATCACCTTCTTCCGGCTGTTCCGCGTGATGAGGCTGGTGAAGCTACTGTCTCGCGGGGAAGGGATTCGGACCCTGCTGTGGACCTTCATCAAATCCTTCCAAGTGAGGGGAGAACCGGACACAACATGCTAAAGCAGGGGGTTGGGTTTACACAGGAATAGTGGAAGTGAGGCTTTAACCCTAATGTGACCCGGATCAGAGGCTATTTTTATTCACGTTTCACATTGCCAATTCGACATAGTGCGTCAACAAGGTGATTATCTCCATATTTAATCAAGAATAGAACCGCTTAATGATATAAATGCTGTGCTAATCATCTTGTAATAGCACATGTGAGTCACATGGGGCTACAAATATCCTTGTTCTTGTGTAAATTCATCCCGGTGGAGTCTCACAAGCCGCCTCTCCTTTCCTTGCCTCCTCGTCTCCACCCCCTATTTTCTTTAAGAAATCAGTGGGGTGGGTGGTGGTTTAGTCCAAACGGTGGCGGAGGAAAAGAACGAGGGATGGTGCGAGGTAACGGAGAGGAGGTTTAGGAGTCTTGTATCAGAGGCAGGGAGGGATTCAGGGACATTAAGAGCTGGGAAACAGGCAGGAACTGAAGAACCTTAACCAGCAATCAACTCTTTGCTACTCATCTCTCCTACTCGCCCTCTTCTTCTACTCCCTTTCCCTCCAATGCCCTACTACTAACACCTGAAAGCTCTCCATTCCCTGTAGGCGGGACAGACAGTAGATTCATTTAAAGGAGCACCACCAAAAAATGTAAATCATTTGATAGACAGTTATGGGGGAAATGAAAACAATCTGTTCTCTCTCTTGTGTTATTTGAGACGGGCCACTTAATGTCACTTGGATAACTTAACTCAGTGGATAACATATTGACACAATTTCTTACTTTTTTCTAATTCAGTAGGATTGGCCCTGCTCTCAAAGTCTCAGGGGTAATGTTAGCCAGGAGCTCAGTCCCCCACACTCTCACGGGTGTGGGATAAAGGAGACACACACATTGTGGCCATGTTTGGTTCATGTGTTATGCACTGGGACTGGACTCCTGGCTAAACTCAGAGAGCAGTTTATGTTTTACTGCGTTTTTTCACTCCTGTGTCAGATGATTTGTCCTGGGTTGTTTTTGGTGTTGTGCCACACAGGGCTGCGGATCAGTTCACTTTCACATTATGAAGTACCGATATATTACTCCTCATACTGCACCTGCTCATTTGAAAAACAAAGAAATACATGTGTAAGGTTAATCAACCTTTTTTTTATCCAATCACTTCCTAAATCAGTAGAATAATTGCTCGTGTAAGGTGTGAAAGTGAATGGACTCCAGCCAGGTGCAGGGTGATGATGTACACAATTTGTCACTAAAGTGTCTCTCTCCTCTTTAGGCTCTGCCCTACGTAGCTCTGCTTATAGTGATGCTATTCTTCATATACGCTGTGATCGGCATGCAGGTAAGCCGTTGTCGTGTCAGCCTGTTTCCCACCCCCCCCCCCTCTTTTGTGTTTCCTCCTCTCTCCTCCAGCTGGCCTCCGTCCTGTGTCTGTCCTCCTGGAGTTCCTGTTCGGTCTCACCGCCCCTCTCTCTCTCTCTCTCTCTCTCTCTCTCTCTCTCTCTCTCTCTCTCTCTCCTCCTCTAGCTGTTGTCTCTCCTCTGTCTGTCTCTGTCAATCCTCCTGTTCTTCCTGTTGAGTTGGTTGTATCACTGATGATGAGAGGGGTGGAGGTTTCTAATTTTGGTTGTTCCAAAGAGCAATTACTTCCACCACCTGTCAAATGCTGACGTCATATCCTGTGTGCTGTGACTACTTCCTCCCCCCTCCTGTATAGATGTTTGGTAAGATAGCGCTGCGGGATGGCACAGAGATCAACAGGAACAACAATTTCCAGACGTTCCCTCAGGCAGTCCTGCTGCTCTTCAGGTGAGGAAGATGCCCACGCTCCTCATCGTTTACACTGGTCCCCTTCTTTCCTCCCTCATCTTCACCCTCCTCTCCACTCTTAATATATACTCTTTTGTTTATGTAAAAATCAGCATCTTCTTTTCTTTCTATATCATCGCTCTGCTCTTTTTCTCCTTCCATCATTAGTTCCTGTAGTTGTAAATTAATATAAATTACTTTTATCTTGTTGATCTCCTATATTTCCTCTGTTGTGAAAAGCCTTTTATATTACACATTAGAGGTTACAACTGACATTTTACAACTGAAGAGGGTTAAATAAATGGCACAATGTGAAATAATAGTTCAGCAATAGCAGGCATAGCCAATATATCACCAAATATCTGACAGTCATACCAGTTTCTTAGCAGCTTCACATTCTATATGTTCACCTGGACACTAGTATGAATCTAATAACTGTCGTAAACATATCTCTGAACTAATTTGGTCCACTAAGGATGAAGCCTTCTTAAGTTTTCAGAGGACTGATCATACATTTAAACATCCTGGATCCAGTCTCAGAAACCTCTCTGTCCTGTGTGGTTGCAATGATGGTAAGATTCCATGCAGGGGCCAAAAAAGAAACACAAAAAGGATGTTTCAGAAATGATCCACAATAGTATGATCTGGCAGCCAAATCTTTTTTGTAAGAATGTTGCCATAAAATCATAACAAGCATCTTTTTCTACTGACCCCTTCATGGAAAATATCATAGCAATGCTTCCATTCAGAGAGACAGGATACTTCAGACTGTGTGCAATACATGATAAATGAAGGTTACACCTGTCAAAACTTAAACAAGTGAGAAAGCTCCGCAGTACTGAAGCATTCAGAATGGAAGACAGTTTGGAACATGTCTTGATCTTCAGCTCAACTAAAGCATACATGACATTTCTTTGCTGTTGCTCAGTACATTCAGTGTATTAGGATAAAATGATTTTTTGTTCTTTTCTATATTCAAACTAACACTTTGCATATGTGTCTCCCTCTCTCTGTCTTTGTATCTGTGTGTGTGTGTGTGTGTGTGTGTGTGTGTGTGTGTGTGTGTGTGTGTGTGTGTGTGTGTGTGTGTGTGTGTGTGTGTGTGTGTGTGTTTTATATATGCTCGTATGTATGCAACATATATGTGTCTCTGTGTGTGTGTTAATGCATAAATGACCATGTGACTCCATGTTGGTGCACATGCACACATCTATGCCTGTATGTGTACTTTAATGTATCTGTTTACGTGCGTTTCTTTGCATGCATATCTGTGTCAACGTGTGTGCATATCTGTACCGGTGTGTGCATGCATGTCTATCTATCAGATGTGCAACAGGTGAGGCGTGGCAGGAGATCATGCTGGCATGCTATCTCAATATGCCGTGTGAGAAAGGATCGACCAATGAGAACAACTTGGCCCACGAGGACTGTGGCAGCCAGTTCGCCATCATTTACTTTGTCAGCTTTTACATGCTCTGTGCCTTCCTGGTGAGTACAGAGAGGAGGAGCTTTAATGCTCCCCTATAAACACTTTGAAAGATAGGATTTGATAAGATTGTAGTTATTATCACCAGGGTTGGGAGGGTTGCTTTGAAAATGTAATCCGTTATAACCTATAGTTTTAACACTTTTCGTGACTTTAGGATTACCTCAACATCAAACGCAATGCAAATAAATAAAAGAGAAAGAAATATGAATTTTTTTAGTGTGTTGTGCAAGACAACAGAACGATGTGAATTTATATTTAGGATACAAAATGTGTCCTCTTAAATTTAGGCTAGACCTACAGAATAGTAGAGCTTACAAAAAGCATTTTCATTTGAATAAATGAGGTGTCCACCTAGTGCATTAAATACAGATGTATAATAAAAAGAAGAACGAAAGTAGCCTAAAGGAAAACCAAAAAGGGAATTCAGGCAGTACGTCTACCTTTAATATATTGATCTTTGTTGATACATGTTAGTCCTGCAAGTAATCCCTGTTTTTCAAAAATGTACCAGTAATCTGATTACATTTTTCTCTATGTAACTGTAAGGGAATACAGTTACTTATTCTTTGTATAATCATTACGTAATCACGCTACATGTAATGCGCTACTCCCCAAGCCTGGTTATCTCACATATTCCATTACAATAAGAAAAGGTGGAAACCCACGTCAAATGTTATTCAAATCTCAAAAAATAGTTTAGAGATATTGATACTTTCTTTTAGTACTTTGAGAACTTTTAAACTTGAATTTGATGTTCAATAGATTGTCCATAATGGCTTGAAACATGTAGTGTTTAATCGCCTGTATATTGTTAGTGTAGTCTTTGACTGATTCCTGATTCTCCCCAGATCATCAACCTGTTTGTGGCCGTCATCATGGACAACTTTGATTACCTGACACGTGATTGGTCAATCCTGGGGCCACATCATCTTGACGAATTCAAGAGGATCTGGGCTGAATATGACCCAGAAGCTAAGTAAGTTTATAGCAAAATAACAATATATGTCATCAAAATAAATCTTCATTCATCTGCAGAGAGTCCCTATGGTCTGTGTAACTTCTGTGCTGTTTCCAGGGGGAGGATAAAGCACCTGGACGTGGTGACTCTGCTGCGGAGAATCCAGCCTCCTCTGGGTTTTGGAAAGCTCTGTCCACATAGGGTGGCCTGCAAGGTAAACACACACACACACACACACACACACACACACACACACACACACACACACACACACACACACACACACACACACACACACACACACACACACACACACACACTAGTGGTACTGCAAATCCTCACAGAATAAAAATGAAATATCACAGCTTTTCAAATTCCAGTATTCCACATTTTGCTGTGATTTTTGGACAGAATTAAATCCTCTACATTTTTCCAGGTGTGATAAATATACAGAAATGTGCCTTCAGGGTATAAATGTGAAGACATATTGACAGCTTTTAACACTTTCCACAGTGACTCAAATGGCACATTGACAACAGATCGTACAGAGAAAATGTTTTAGATATCAAGACACCAACGTCTCTCTCTAGAGGATTAAATGAACAGTGACCACTGTCTGCTCATTTAAACACACTGTCAGCTGCCAGTATCTATTTTGGTTTGTTGAAAATGAAGGAAATGTGTATGTTTTAATTGAAAATGTTGATGTGAATAAACGTTCTCTCTGGTGTAGCGTCTGGTGTCGATGAACATGCCTCTGAACAGCGATGGAACCGTCATGTTTAACGCCACACTGTTTGCTCTGGTCAGAACCGCACTCAGGATCAAGACGGATGGTAACAGACACACACAAACAAACACTAGATACACACACACACACACACACACACTGGTGGGCAAATCGGCCCATGGAAATGTATTACCATCTTTCCCAGTCCTAGTCTTTTCTTTTTTTTATGTATACTGTTCGTGCGTATGCAGGTAACCTGGAGCAAGCCAACGAGGAGCTGAGGGCGATAGTGAAGAAGATCTGGAAGAGAACCAGCATGAAGCTCTTGGATCAAGTAGTGCCTCCTGCTGGAGGTTTGTATCCTCTGCAACAGTGTACTCACGCCTTCATAACTAACAATAAACACAAAAAATCTACCAACAGGGATTTGATTTTCCTTTATTATTACTTTGCCTAAAGCTGTTGCAGCATGTCTTGCAACAGTTGAAAAATGATCCTATTTATAATATTTTAATTTCTTGCAGATGATGAGGTAACAGTCGGGAAGTTCTACGCCACCTTCCTCATCCAGGAATATTTCCGCAAGTTTAAGAAGAGGAAAGAACAAGGGCTGGTGACCAAGGTGGCCCCCAAAACAGCGCTTTCTCTGCAGGTACACAAACATGCACTACCTTTAATCATGAAGCTCTATACATTTGTTGCATTGTGAGGAAAGTCAGAAGAGGGCAGTACATTTTTCAAATTGTGACTTTGATGGATCCCAAAATAATCAAAGAAATGCAAGGTGATATTTTGCACAGCATTTATTGGGCTCCTTGGTTATGAATGAACCATAGAAAGAAAATAATAGGTTTGTTTGAGTCTTTCGATCTCTAAATAAACATGTCCTTCACATTGTTATTCTATTAAAGTGCAACGCTTACATTGTGTTGGTCTTTGTGTAGGCGGGCCTGCGGACATTACATGACATCGGCCCAGAGATTCGGAGGGCCATCTCCGGAGACCTGACCGTGGAGGAGGAGCTGGATAAAGGCATGAAGGAGCCTGTGTCTGCTGCATCCGAGGATGATATCTTCAGGGTAAAGGTTGGATACACACACCCTCACACACTCTCCAGAGAGAGAGCCAGAAAGAGAGAGAGAGAGAGAGAGAGAGAGAGAATGTCGGCATCCAGCATATACACAGAAATGCTTGCATTTGCTCATAGGTTCATACCAACATTTAATAAGCCCCGTCCTCCATCACATACCGCTTGACTTCCATTCACTTAATTTGATTTAGATAATTGGTCTTTTGCATTTAAAAAATAAATAAAGCACATCCATTTACTGCAAATTGCAAAATAAGAACAACAGTTGATCACTGTAACTGAGAGACTCAGACAAAACTGCACACACACGCACACACACAAACACACTTGTTCGCTCAAGGGTGAGTAATGCTCGTGTTCAGCCTCCATTGTATATATATAACTGCCTCATTAATGCACATCGTTTTGCATTCTGCTGCATTTTGTCACTTTGGCATACAGTAGGTGACACAAATGGACTGATATACTGTAGCTCAGGGGTGCCCACCCTTTTTCAGCTTTGGAGCTACTTTTAAAATGACCAAGCACATAAGATCTACCTACAGGACCGCCCCTGCCCAATCTGTGTCGCGAGCGCGGGGGGGGGACGGGGGACTAAACGGCAGATAAATTATGACACTAATTGCGCCTAGGGTTGCAAAATTCCGGGAATTTTCAAAGATGGAAACTTTCCACGGGAATTAGCGGGAATAAACGGGAATTTATGGGAATAAACTGGGAATTTTCAAAATTGAAGGTTGGCTCTTCATAGGGAACTTAAACATAGTTGGGGAAAGTATATTTTAGCATAATCTTGACTACAAACAGATGCAATTCAAGTACACTTGAATATCCATGCCATAGCACTACGTACTGCATGGCTATTGAGACCACACAAAGGTTCGCAACAGGCTCACAAATGTGAGAGTGGAAAAACTGGTTGACATTCGGGCAAACCTAAGGGTCTTTGAGCCTGACACAGAGCCATCCTCAACAAGGCTGGACAG